ACAAGACCTGTCATAAATATGGTAGAGTTTTAAACCATTTCTTCTCGTACCTCCCCCACATAGAGTTCAAGGTTTTGAAAAACAAGACGCCCAAAGAAAGCGAAACTCTTATCAAATTTCACACCTACAAACATTTTAACTGAACAAGATCTGTCTATGGTACCTCATCCACAAAGTGTTACAATTTTCAACATTTGTATCTGTTATAACTTGCGAAACAAGCCAGCGATTATTTACACTATGCTATGTCGAAATATTTCTCACAACCAGAAACCTGATATGTTCCATTTTCTTGTAATACCATATAAATGGAATACTTCCGTCGACTATATCTGGTAACTCACGCAGAATTTAACATTTTCTAAAAATTATCACATATCTCATACAAGGTGAAGGAAGTAAATAATATAGTCTAAACTTGCTACGTCGCAATATTTATACCATATTTATTTAGGTCCGACACGAAATCGACAATATTTGCCCATTTCTACATAACCTACTCCATAGAAGGTCAACAATTAGAATAATCATAACAGAAGCCAAAATATAATTAAATAATCGAACATTGGCGGGGGGTATACATCTGTCGTCAAAACCGACTGCTAGTTTTTAACTTGTTCAATACTAAACATTTTTTAAATAACTTTTATCAACCTGTTTCATTTTGTTCGGAACCTACAGCGATTTCCGAAGATGGAGAGACAGACGGACGGATCAAGAATATATATATATGTGCTCTAAAATGCTTATTTCGAAGAGTTACAAACAAAATTACAAACCTTATATACCCTCCAAACTATATATTGAGGAGAGTATACATTCTGTATAAGATTAAAGTGTATAAAGTGGTGAAATATACAGAAGAATCTCAAAAATGTTTATTGTTGCATACTTTTCGGCTCCTACAAATTGGTAAACAGCTCACAGTAACTTTCTGCTGATTTAGTAACAATTCTTGGTCTCTTAGTAAAAAATATTGTGTTTTATTTTGTCACCTTCCGCGTAACCTCTCTTTTCTCTTTTCCCCCACAGAAATTCACCAAGTTATGAAGCATTTGTGAGAAAACTTTGTTATCCTGCGAAAGGTAGTGTTACTCTAACATTTGCTCTACCTCAGCTCCACAAATGGTGTCTTATCTGCACACACTTGAAACAATAAAACACAATGAACAATACATAACATTTATTTGTTGTTTTCTCCTGTGGTTAGCTGTTGTTATTCAGCGTTGACAGTGATGGAGATACAACACTGCATCAGTACACATACAACTACTATCTGCTTTCAAGTTAGCAAAACTTGTTGTTATAATAGCCTTAAATCTCTTTCTCCAGATTTTGTCTCTTACTTACATTTCTATTTCTGTTCTGTTTTTTTTTTTACTTCTCAAAAGAGACACACATAGAGAGAAAGGACTAATGATGGCTGTGAAAAAATCTCCAAGGGAATCTAAAATATATACACACTACTTTCTGTAACAATATATGTGTGTGCGTATGTGCTCGTGTGTTTCTGTGTAATTGAGTTTGTGTGTGTCCCAAACACACATACGGGTGCATGTATGTGTGTTCATATATGCTTGTTTATAAACACAAAAAGTTACATTTAAAAAGTTTATTATATGCTTGTTAGACTTTAGATTGTAATTCTTATTGTTTTTTTTTTTTTTTTTGTTCGTTCTACTTTTAGTCATAGCTAGCTACCTACCTACCTACGTAGCTATTCACCTAGCTATGGAGGAACTTTTAGGTACTTAAAACAGCCTACACATCACTTTCATATGCATATACACACACATGTCTAAGCAGTGCTACATCTTACTTGCAGCTTTTTTGTTGGATTTTTTTTTTTTTTTTCGTTTTCCAAAGTACAGTAAGGCCAGGCTTTGTTTTTGGAAAATATTATTATTTTGTTTTCTGTTTTCTTCTTCATCGTCTTATTTGCTCTGATTTTAGGAGAAATATTAATCAAATTTAAATTTAACGTACAACACTTCTGTGTGTGTATGTTTGTGTCTAAGGGTGGGAGGGACGAACGGGTGGTCCTTTCTTCCAACATTCCCATAACGCACTCCACACGTATGAGTAATGCTGATTTAATTAATATTACGTATACGCGACCGTGGATTGCCTGATGCCTTGGTTTAGTTTTTGTTCGTTTCAGTTGATGGCAGCTCATCTCATCTCATTAGAATACTAGAAATGTTGTTTTGAGAGTTTTAATTTTAGCCTACAATTGTTACAAGGTTCTTTTTATGCATTCGCTTGATGGCTTGCTTGAATTATACAAAATGAGGAAAAGACCCCCTCCCATCAAGTTGATGCTATGAAGGATATATATTAATATACATATTTATGTATATGAGAAAAAAGTGGATCTTAAACTCATTATGACATGTTTCTAAAATAGCTGAAATATTTTTGGTATTTTCAAAGTCTTGCCGAGAAAAGGAGCAGGAGAATTTTTGAGTAACGTCAAATTAAGGCACGGTAAGCTTCAACGATATGGTATGGTAACAAGTAAAAAAGACATAATATCATGGGCTAAAAAATTTCCATTTTTTTAAGTAATGGAACGATACAATTAAAGATTTAAATCTAATTTCTGAGGGGAAAATTAAAAAGAAAGAAAATCATGTCGAATTTTTAATATCCTCCACCAGATGAAAAATGACACTTTTGAACAGTTCCGAGATTCAGTAGATATTACATTGCATCTATAAAAAAATCCCTTTAAAACGTTGGATAAAATTAGCAACTAATCACTAACCGGGGCATACATAGAAAGTTGTCTACCAAAGGGGTTGACAGCCATTACAAACTTCAAATAATAAATTTCAAGCAATTCTGCTGAAAAATGGGGATAAATAATAAATACAAATTCCATTATATGGAGTTTATACTCTAAATACAAACTTTGATAATTTTTTTTATAATTACGAGGAAAGGTTCCGTTATATGGGTTCAATGTAAAAAGGTTAACAATTTTTAGAAACTACAGATATCAATTTTGACAAAATTGCTTCAAAAAATTTGTCTAGATTCATCTAAAAAGGGAATATTGAAAAGTACTGATACATGGGGTCAATACCAAAATGTGAATCTATATGGTCAATTTACGGCAAATTCGATCACAAATATGACCAAAGCCCCATATTTCGCGATAATATTCGGCATTTATTCTGATGCCACGGTCGATTAATACGAGCATTGAGCGACCATTGACTGTTATGGCGGCCCACACCATCACCATTGTCGGCGCTTGAGTTCTGGTGGCCAACCGAAGGTGTACATTTTCAGCTAACCTCTTTGGCAAGTAAACACGATCATTTTTGTTGTTTACAACAAACGAATGTTTTCTCATCTGAGAACACCAAATGCGGCAGTTAACCACTTTCGGCCAAGCGAAACAATTCCCTAGCTCTTTTGAATCTATTTTCCTTCTGTTACGGTGTAAGTTCTTTCATTTTTTGGAATTTCAATGGCTTACCCCGCGCTCATTTTTCAATATTTGCCGAATGGAATATTGCGATATGTTCAGCTCACGAGCCAATTTTCGGCCACTGCGACGCGGGTTTCGATCCAGTCACTTCTTTACATTTCGAACCATTTCTGCTGATTTTGCTGTTTTCTTCCGTCCACTTCCTTGACGTCGGGCTACGCTGCCAGCATAACGATAACGAGCGATGGTATGAGACACAAAAGATTTATTCACATTTTATTGCTGGAGTGCTCTTACGATAGCCAAATACAAAGAAATCACACTATCTCGCTTGAATTCCATCACGAATAACTCTTTTTCCAGAAAATTCTCACCAAAACGCTTTTTTACGCTTGTAAACAATATAATGAGCTGTCATTGGAATAATTTTAACAGCTGTCGGACGAGTGGCTTAGAAATGACAGCAGTCTGAAATTGGTTGCAGTTTTTTCATAGTTGTTCCAGAATACTCTAAGCTTTTTTAGTCCCAACCTATTGTAAAACCTTCGAACTACTTTGTTCTTATTACGAAACTCCCCTTTCATCCAGGGTTTCATGAGGGCAAATTTCATCTCTCGAAATGAACAAATTTCTTCGCATGGATGTCATTAGGCTGTTGAATTTATTGTCTTTGTCTCTCCTGTCCAGGTAATTGTCATTGCCCTCCCTAAAACTTGCTTTTATTAATATTCTATAGACTCTCCAATTAGCCTTGAATTTACTACGGAAAATTATGGGCATTGGACGGTTATTATTTCCATCATTATATTCAACATTCTCTTTGGAACACCCTATTACTTCTCATACTTTTCTGCCCTCCATTTTCTCTAAAATTCAACATTTCAATAATTCCCCAACCAAATCGCCATGGTAGCCTTTTGAAATTGTTATAAGCTGTAAATCTGCAAGTATTAGAGTAGCAAGTTCTCAGCATTCGTAATATTTAAATTTTTAATGCCAACGACTTTGTTAGTTAAGCTGGAAGATGGGACAAGAGAGCCTGGGAAGCGGGAGAGATATGGGGAGAGAGGGAAAATAACATAAAATGCAACATTTAAATCCCTTATGTAATATGCATCAAGAAGAAGAACGAAAAAAAAAATAAATCTGAATCGTGATAATCACTGCGAGCAGAGTAACAAATCGCAAAGCTTCCAAAAGCGAATACTACAAAGGAAGAAAACAAAAGAGACGTATTCGCAGTGGCCAATGGTCAGTTGGGTGATTATGTTAACGACATTTGTGGCAATGATAATGAAGTTGATCATTGGGATTATGATGTAAATGTTGATGATGATAACTTTGATGTCAAATGTGGCAGGGTTTTCTTTTAATCTGTGGATTTTGAATCCACTCTCCCTGTCACTCTCTCTCTCTCATTCTCTTATGCTGTTACTTGGGCAACCACAAAAAAATGTTAGCTACTTTGAGATTCTCAACTGCCAACGACAATAATTTTCCATATTTATTTAATATTCCATTTCATGATTTTCTTCTTCTTTTTCTTCCTTCCCACTTCTAGGCTGCTTCACCACGCTGGGAACCACAAATTGCAGTACTTTGTGAAGCCGGTCAAGTCTATCAACCGCAATACCTATCCGAGGAGGGACGTTGGGTAACAGATTTGAATAAGAAATCAACGGGTGCAACTTGTCTGCGTGATAAACTCGATTTGCTGGATTATTGTAAAAAG